CCCCCGTTCTACCAATTTTTCATGCAATACCGAATTTAACCGATCAATCCCCCCTCCCCCCTTACCTCAAATTCGATGCTGTTGTTGATGAAGCCTCTTAATCCACACGAAAATCCTACAGCCCAGCCTCCTCTTGCTCAAGCTTGCTCTTGCTTTGATCGTGTTCTTCTCCTTTGACCGTGTTTCCTCTTCTCATGCGTGTTCTCTTCTTCTCCTTTTTCCAATATTCCACCTTTACCCTCAATACCCCCCAAAATTCACCTTATCCCAAATAATATATAATTTCCCATAATAATAATAATAATTCTCTTATTTCCTTTAATTCACAAAATCCACTTAATTTCCAAAATTCTATTTAATTATATTTTTCTCATATGTTAATATTAGTAATAGTAATGATAATAATTAATAATAATATTATATTGCTATTAATTATCACATTTTTATCACTACATACCAATATCATGAGTTCTTGATCCTCTAAGTCATTTCACCAAAACACATCCGTGAGTAAAATAACATTGAAACCAAAAATAATTAAAATGGGCGTTACACTGGTAAACCACTCTGGACCACATCTTCGTTCTGCGAAGGGAGCCATCTTCGCGGTAAAATCATACCGTTTCACGAACATATGAACGAAGCTGGATAAATTGGATCGAAGAGAATGGCCTTCCTCGCTAGGAGTAAGTTGAGCCAGGCGAGGCCATTCGACTCTTCTCTCAGTGACTAAAGGCGAACGTTCATCAACTTCACCTCTGTAGGGAAGATTGTGTTCGAAAGTGGCATTAAGCCACAACTGAAGAAGCCAAAAGGGGCCCGACAACAGCAAGTTGCCATGGCTGTCAGGATCCTTCAATTTATTCGCACCTTCACCTAAGGCCTCATAAAGACTGGCCAGAATCATTTCACTGAGGCAAACGCCTCTCTTCAGATGTAGCTGGTTGGCCAAAACCAGATACTTTCGCGCCACCTGCAAGGATTTGGTGCAAAATATACAACGGGATAACCACATGGCCAAAAAGGCTATATGTTCTTCGTCGTCAACTGAGGTGCTAGTTTTATTATGGTAATGTTGGAAAAAAGCTGTATAAGTATGTTTAGTGTTGGCAAAACCAATGTTGTCATGGCTATCAATCTCGGGATCATAAACTAGGCCGTAGGATTTTAGGCCTACAATGGCAGCTACATCAAGTAGAGTGGGTGTCATCATCCCACAAGGGAGGTGGAAAGTGTTGTGAGTTCTATCCCAGAAGAATAAGGAAGAAGCCAGCATAAGGGGGCAGTACGAAGGGCCTACCTTCGACATCATGATTAGATCGAAAATCCCAGTGTCCTTCCATTCCCGGGCTTTTACTTTCTCTATTTTCGTCAGCCAGTTGTGATAAAGTTCGGAATCTTTGAAGTAGGGAGTAGCCCTAAATAATATGGCCCCGTCATGAAGATACCTAAGGTCTACGTCGAAGAGGCTCAGGCTATTAGGACCGTCAGTGGAAATTTTGCTAGAGTCTTTTTGCCCTAGGGGTTTAGTGGTTCTATAAGAGGGGAAGAAATCTTTAATGGCGGAATAGTCAAGACCTAGAGGGGGTAAAGACCCAGACATGGCTAAAGGTCTCCCTGCAACAGTAACAAGAATGATTACCTGAGATTCGTAAATGTGGCGTTTCTCCTCCGTCAAGGGCTCACGGATGAACTGTTGGTTCTTTACCACCTGGAGGCCGCTCAAGCTAGCAAAGGGAGGAAGCGTGGATGCAGAAGTTTGTCCTTTAGATGGCATTTTCTTCTTTTGATGATCAGCCATTTTTGAAGGAAGTAAGAGTTTGTTGGTTGGGAAGCAGAAAATTAGAGGAAAAGCAAGGAAGTTGTAAAGAGTTAGAGAAGTTGGAAAAAATGAAAATGTCATAGGGAAACTACTTATATAGTGTATGGAAGACTGAAAGTTTTTCATCATTGAGGGGCTAGAGTTAGTGGGCCACGTGTGCGCTTGGATGTGGGATGGCAGAGGCAGTAGTTGCAATTCACGTCCCCGAGGTTGGAAGGGTGATGATGGCCCACGATTTTGTTGATTCCCGAGAAAATAGCCATGATGAAAGTGACGTCATAAATGTGCATCAAGGTGGCGGAACAGTAGGTTGCGTGTTCATAGCTATCTTTCTTTTTTCTCTTTCATTCCCTTTCACCTTCTCAGACTTGCATTGGTGGAAAGAGTATCAGACGACACGCATGAGGACAAAGCAGCGTCGAAGGCCAGACGCTGTCAAAAAATGTGCTTTTCTACAGTCGAAGTCGAAAAGACATTTTTGTGGGGCAATTTGTTAACTCCTAAATTCGACGCCTCATGTAGAAAGAAGGTATTCAAGACAAAAGGGTAAAAAATAAGTTGAGAACAAGAGAATGGTCGAAAGAGGCAAAGCAACCAGAAGAAGAAGTCGAAGGACTCATCCAGAAGCCAGGAGTTCGACCGCTTGCTGAGAGGGATGGTTCGTCGAAGGATTTGAAATTCAAATATTGGAGGGAAAGGTTTCGCTTATTGAATATTGAAGGAGACACGTGTCACCCTAGGAGCAGTATAACCATGCATTTGTGACAAATGGCGCAAGGAGGTGATGATGGAGGTTATTAGAGATTATTTTTTATTTCTATAAATAGGGTGTCTTAGACATATCCAAAGTGTGTTGTACTTTACTATTGTACAAATTACTCTTGAAATTACTCCAAGTATCCGAGTGTAGAGAAAGCGAGTATTGTAGAGAATGTACGTGATGTAAACACACCATCTTTTAACTTAATGCAATTTACTTGTTTTACTTTAGATTTTACAAAGTCTTTTATTGTCTTTACCCCTTTTCCCCTTATTTTACTTCCCTCCTTCATATGCAATTCTTTTCTCTTCGTCCTCAATCTAACTTCTTCTCTCCCAACAAACTCTCTTCTCTTTTATTGAAAGCTTTACTTCATCTTTAAATTAACTCGTAGTTGAATAGACGTTCCTTTAGAATTCTTTCACCCCAATATTGTTCGAGTGTGGAACTTGAATAGATTATTAAAACAAAAACAAACCTTTTAGCACATGTCCTAGGATCAATCTGATCGATCCTGTGAGTCACCAAAGTTAGATTTGGAAGATCAGCGGTTGTTTTCCGATTTTCAAGGGAAACACTTCCAAAATCAGATCTCAATTCAAACAAAAATTAAGTGGTGAATTAAAGATAATGGAGATGAATGATGGAGGTTTAGCTTTAGAATTCAAGGATTCCAATTAAGAATCAATGAATTCAAGTGGAAAGAGTTTTAATGGAGGTTTTGGGAGTGAAAAAGTTGAGAGAAAATTCTCAAGAATAAAGGTGAAATCTGAAAATGAAGGTTATTGTGTGAGGTTTGGAGAAAATTCACTTAAATAAGCTTTAGGTTTGTAATCAACATACGGTTTGGAATGTGGATTAGCATTTGGAATGGAAATTAGGAGCGAGATTAGGAATAGAGTGTTTGAAATTTGGAGGGAAATGGTGAAAATTGAAACAATTCTAGAGCCTTCCAATGATGATCATGTGAAATCAATGGTTGAAAATGATTGGAAAATTTGCAATGCTGAAAATTTGAATTTCTTGACAAATTTCACCTGAAGTAACCGGTTACCACATTCAAAAAATGTCCAATTTGGCGTCAAATGGAGAGAATCCTACATAATTATTCGTTGTCACCTGTTCTAAGTTTTATTAAGCCACTGAAACTTGCCCTTGGATATTATGATTGTGAGAATGTTTGAGATAGCATATACACCATCTCTTGAGCTGAAAATAACCTGCTGAATAAAATAAAATCGACCGTTCGTTCGTTAGATAAAATAAATGTCGGAGCCTCTGATGCTCGTTGTTTGAACTCTTGCAACAAAAGAGAACCCTGAGTCACAGAAATACCTTGATCCCATGTCTCGAGAACCAATGATATGATATGCAGAAACGCAGAGAAACAAAAGACAGTAAACCGGAAATGATGAGACAAATTTTGGGGTGCTACATATGACATTTTCGAACCATCTAAATTTATATACCTCGTTTTTTGCATATTGATTGTATGGCTTTAATCTCATCGCATAACATGGCACATAAAGTTTAGAAATCTTCATCTGAATAAACAAAACATTACATGCATTGTTCTGGTATGTTACGGAGATGTATCTCCATAAAATAAACGGATATGCATCTCTGATAAATATGTGTGTCAAATGTCTTTCAGAGCTAATTCATGGTGTATGAGTTTTAAAATATTACGAAGATATATCTCCGAATTATTTAAAATTTTAAGGTACGTTCGAAGATACATCTCCAAAATCTAAAAACAGTTAAGTATTTTTACTTGATATCGAAACAATATATAAGGCGCATTAAAAAATTCTCTTTTAGTCTTTGATTGAAAGAAAAAAAAATTCTTTGCAGTCTTATTGGCATTTTTGCTTCTATTTGAAAAATAGTTAAGCCAGTTTCTTTTTTCTAGCCGATGTTTTTCTAACGTTAGTCGAGTAGAATTTGTTATAAGTAACGTTTGTCGAGTAGAATTTGTTATAAGTTGGTCAATTTAACGTTGTACTTTCTCTACGAGGACTAATAAAATATAGAAATTAGTTGATTTGTCACTTAGAGTTTGATATAAATTAGTTTGATAATTAGAATTTGTTGATTTCTTCCTCATGAACAAAATGCAAAGGCAGAGAATGTCATGCACATAACACACGTTTAAAAGAGGAGTCTAAGATAACCACAAAATTCAACATTCGAATGTATTAGTACCCACAAGAATAATGCAAGATTTTTGTACGCCATCCTATCCTATAGTGTCTATACAAAGTAACCCTAATTTGAAAATAATGAATGGATCTGTGTGCATAATAATACAAGGAATATTGCATACATAGGTGCTGGAATTTCATAGCCTAAATAATCCACACATCATTGCAAAATAAGTTCCCTATGTATAGAATATTTGGGTATAGTGTCTGTGATCTACTCTTGTTTCTCATCACTACCCTGCAATCCTTCTGTACTTTTAGGCTTCGAAGGCGAAACTTTGACAGGATTTGAACGCTCAGATTGTGTGAACATGATCATGATTTGCATGAGTGCAGTCACAATTGCCAAACTAAATACAGTAAATGCAACACCCTTCCATGACGATAGTAGTGATGACCATTGAAGCAACTTAACAGTCCCCGCAACAACCACGATAACCCATGTTATGTAAACCTGTTTGTTCCAAAGATGAAGTTGATTATTGACCATGCAAATAAATAACCATGATGCTGTTTGTACTACAATAGAGAATAGCTGGCTAATAGATAAGGATAATACGATGTTAGATTTGTTGAGAGGAAGTAGCTTACCAGAAGAGACTTTATTGGTCGACCGAGATCCTGTGGCTCATGATTGCTGAATTTGTCATCAGCTATATGTTTGTCTAACAAATCATCCTGGTGTGCCCAGGGAATCAACATGGTGTTCACAGAAGTGTGTACAATAAGATCTTAATAAAAACTAGGACGAACAAACTATAATAATAACAGATGTGTCTACCCTGCTTAAAAAAAGCAAAACAAAAACAAAATTACAGTTAATAGAAAGGTGCAATTGACACAAACCTTAGCCACAAATATGTCTCGACACCATTGAGCAACATCTTCATCTGCTTCTGGCAAATCCTTCATCAAATGCCGCTTAACATGCACATGCACCTAGGATTCAGATGAGAACGATCCTAATCAAATGTGACGTCGTATAACGAAAAAATAGCTAATAATACTATGTAAGAAAGACAAGGGATCCTCTTGCAAAGATTCCAAGTAATTATATTGAAAATTATGATTCCTAAAAAACTCCATTCTACAAAATAAAAACATGCACCAAATTGCCCAGTTACATTTCTTCTTTTCCACAAACAGTGCCTCTGAAGTCCCCTAGGCAATACTGTGGTTTTCCATAAAACAAGAAGCCTATTTGAAATCTCCAAGCAAGGAAAGAGCTACACAGAGACAGGGGTGACCATGACATCCCAAAATTCTTTTTAGAAGGTAGGTAAACATATTATATTAGTTAAAAACTTAAAATATGTATAAATAAAATGTGTTTCGTTTGTTACCATAACGGTAAAGTAGTGCAGTGGAAATACTTTAGTTTTGGGAGTTCGAAGTCACGGGTTGGAGTCTTTGAAAACCAATTTTTGTATTTTTATTGTTTGATTTTAAAATAAATAAAAAATCACAACGGAGACATGAACCCACCCATCGGCATAAAGAGCAAAATTTTATTCCGAAAACTCTACTTGATCATAATACTATGCATGTTTATATATGAAACTTTTAATATATAATTCTAGAGCATACATTATAGCCCCGTTTGAAAAGCATTCAAGCTCCACCACTGTCTCCAAGATAAAAAAGAATTATGTCAAGCCAGATGATCACGTGTTCCACAAAAAGTTACAAAACAACCAAGACTCACTCTGTCAAGTAGGATTCGTTTAAATGGCCCACTCTTACAATAAGTTTTCTTATTGATAACTTTCAGCATAAGTTGAAAGTGTCTTATACAGCCTCGACATTTTTAGAAGCTCTGTCATCTAACAAAAATTCCTGCATGTTTATAAAATTATTAAAAGGCTTTTTTGTAAGTTCAGAATCAAATACTTTTGTAGGTCGAGAAGTTCCCAAGAGTTAAAAGCTAATTCAAGCCAGGCCTTTGACCTCAGTAGCATGGTTGTCAAAATCGGGATCTCGATAAAGATTGTTAGGGTATAGAAAAAAACATAAATTGTAACATGGATCGTAAGATCCCAACAAATAGACAAAATTATAGAAATAACTAAGAAAATAACGTTAACATAAACTCTCATAAATTTAATCATCAATAGCAAATATTTTATCCAAAAAACATAATAGAAGGATTTTATTTGAATTTATAGAAAAGAAAGAAACTCATTCATTGTATGATTAATGTTATAATAAAAGAAAGAGAGAAGAGTGAAAGAATTTTGTTATTGATTCCTTGAAGTGAACATTATACAATAGATCACTATATATAGGTAAGCATAGCTAACCATTAGACAGCTAATACAGTTAGCTTACTAACATAAAGGAAACCTATATTATTATCTATTTATCTCTAATAGTTCCCCTTAGAAGCTGAGGAGGGTGTTTCAAGGAGGCTCCTTTTGTTGAACACTCTAAATTTGTCACGCAGAGGGATGAATTTAGCAGAAAAGAGGGGTTTTGTAAGGGAATCTGCCCACTGATCCTGGGCAGGCACATGAACTACAGCCAGGCTTTTGTTGAGGACCTTTTCCCTTACAAAGAAAATGTCCAGCTCCATATGCTTTGTCCTATTGTGAAGAATAGGATTATGAGCTAAGGTCACTGTGCTTAGATTATCACATAGGGGTCTGAAACCGGCAATGAAGTTCAGTGAGAAGGGATTGAATCCATAACATCTCTGCAGTTAGCTGAGTCATACTCCGGTACTCTGCTTCAGCACTGGATCTTGCCACTAGTTGTTGTTTCTTTGACCACCAGGAAATAACGTTGGGACCTAAAAACACACAAGCCTCTGAGGTGGACCGTCTATCATTAGGGTCTGCTGCCCAGTCAGCATCACAAAAGCCTAGCAGAGATAGGGGTTGATGCCTAGGAGCAGGTTGAATAAGTAATCCATAGTGAAGTCTACCACTGAGGTACCTGAGTATTCTTTTCACTGCTTTCCAGTGCTCCTCCGAGGGATTGGACAAAAACTGACACACTTTGTTGACAGAAAAGGATAACTCAGGCCTAGTCAAGGTAGCATACTGAAGAGCGCCAACAATGGATCTGAACTGGGTTGGGTCTGAAAATGTGCCAGAACCACATTTTGATAACTTGCTGCTAGAGACCATGGGAGTGGGCATTCCATTTGCAGTGGACATATTCACTTTTGCAAGCAAGTCACTCACATACTTAGCTTGAGAAAGCAGTAAAGATCCATTGGGTAGGTGAGTAACCTCAATCCCTAGGAAATAGTCCAGCTGACCTAGATCCTTAAGAGCAAACTTTGTGTTAAGACTCTTGATAAGATTGGCAATAAACGCAGGAGAATCCCCTGTGATGATGATATCATCAACATACACCAATACCATAATTGTTAAGCTGCTGGTGTGTAAGAAGAATAAGCTAGGATCACACTTGCTGGCCTGAAGTCCATACTGCAGTAGGGAGTTTTTGAGCCTATCAAACCAGGCCCCGGGGGCCTGTTTTAACCCATATAAGGCTTTGTTAAGCCTGCACACAAGAGACCTATCAGTAGCTTCAAACCCAGGTGGTTGAATCATATACACCTCTTTCTCAAGGAGGCCATTAAGAAAGGCATTATTTATATCAATTTGCTGGATTGACCACCTATTGGTGACTGCAAGGGTGAGAACAGTTCTGACAGTAACCGGCTAAACGACGGGAGAAAACGTCTCAGTGAAATCACTACCAGCTTTCTGATGAAACCCTTTGGCAACTAACCTTGCCTTATATCTATTAATAGAGCCGTCAGGATTCTCCTTGGCCCGAAAGACCCACTTGCAGCCAATGGGCTTTTTAGTGGCAGAGGGAGACACCAAGGACCACGTTTGATTTTTCAAAAGGGCCTGATATTCATCCTGCATTGCATGAAACTAGTGAGGAGTAGACAAAGCTTGTTTAACTGATGTAGGTTCCATATGAGTTAGAAGGAGTGTGGGATAAAGTTTGGGCTTAACAATGCCACTTTTGGCACGAGTTTGCATGGGATGAACATTGAGAGGGGTGAGATTAGAAGGAGGGGCACCAGAACTGGTGGGTGATACAGAACTGGAGGCAGAATGATTTGTTGCAACAAATTAGGTAGGGAAGAGGGGGAGATGGTGCTGGCCTCAGCCAAGTCAGAAGAGGCAGAATTGGGGGAAGAAAAACTGGGCTGAGAGATGTGGGGTTGACTTAAGATAGAAGGAGAACTTGGCATAGGAGAGGTAGGAGTGGCAACAGTCAAAGTATGAGTAGGTGGAGAAGACAGCTGACTCACATTAGGAGCAGCAGAGGGAGGAACATGTTGTAGAGGCTGGACATGGAAAGTAGGAAAGGATGGAGACGAGGCAGCAGATGGAGACCAAGCTTGAGAACTAGAGGAACTTGAGGAAGGAGAGGGAGAGGTGGGAAAAAGCTCTAGATAAGGAAACATAGTCTCATGAAAGAGAACATCCTTAGAGATGTATAACCGACCATCAGCTGCAAGGCATTTATAACATTTGTGAACAGTGGAGTAACCTAAGAAAATACACTCTTGGGATCGGAAAGCAAGTTTTTGAGCACTATATGGTCGAAGAAAAGGGAAACGAGCACAACCAAACACACGGAGACTTGAATAATTAGGAGATTTATGCAATAATATGGAGTATGAAGACTGGTTTTGAAGGGAGGGACTAGGCAGCCTATTGATAAGATAGGCTGCAGTGACAAAGGCATGATCCTAATACTTGAGTGGCAGCTTGGAATGAGCAAGCAAAGCTAGACCTGTTTCAACTATGTGGCGGTGTTTGCGTTCAACTATACCATTTTAATAGTGAGTATAGGGACAAGTAAACCTGTGGAGAATACCTAAGTCAGTAAGGTATTTGGTGAAGGGTTTGAATTCACCACCTCCATCACTTTGAACCCCTTTAATTTTGCAATTAAATTGGAGTTCAACCATGGTTTTGAAGTGAATGAATTGAGTAAGAGTGTCAGATTTTAACCTAAGAGGAAAAACCCAGACAAATCTGGAAAATGCATCAACACAGGTGAGAAAATAAGTGTAACCACCAGAAGATAGAATGGGTGCAGGACCCCACAGATCACACACAACAAGTTCAAAGGGATGATGGTAGATAGTGGTGGATAGAGATAAGGGAAGCCTGTGAGACTTGCCTAAGCAGCAAGCTGCACATAAGTCATTTGAAGGTTTATGAGGAATAGGAACATGGCATAGTTTGAGAACTTCAATAAGGGCTTGGTGATGAGGATGTCCAAGTCTTGTATGCCACAAACTATATTTATTGTTAGATATGGAACTGTAACTAGGCACACTTTGATATGAGTTAGGAGTATGAGCAGTAGAGACATTAGCTATAGGAGAAATTTGATAACCGGAAACAGAAACAGTTTTATTATTATAAGAATCAACATTACAAACAGATATACAGTTGCAAGTAGCAGCTGAATTACATGATGAACTAAGACTATTACAAGCACTAGGACTATGAAACTGAGACAGGGATGAAGCAGGATTGGCAAATCTGTAGAGTCCATAAGCTCCCACAGTGCCACGGAGAAGGACCTCAGAGGAATCCTGCATTTTGACAAGACAAATTTGAGGATAAAACTCAAAGAAAACTCAATTATCTTGTGCAAATTTGCTTACACTAATGAGATTTTTAGTGATGTGAGGGACAAGAAGAAGATTGTGCAGCATTAGAGATGAATTAGAAGGGTTGGCTAAGGGAAATTTCATGGAACCTACAGAGTTAATTGACAAACCTTGGCCATTTCCCATGAATAGTTGTTCAGCTCCAGACAATGACGATGCATCAGACAAATTTGAAGCCTCAGGCGTGACATGGTGAGACACCCATGAATCAGGATACCACCACTGATTGTTGAAGTTAGGATCTGAACCTGTGAGGAAAGCCTGAGGTTGAGGATGCCTAGGTGGTGTTGGCCTTGGAGCAACAGCATATCCAAAGGAGGGAGGATAGGAAGGGCGTGGAGTTACCATGAATGGATTGAAGGGAGCACGTGGAGTGACAAAGGAAGGTGCACCGGAGTAAGAGTATCTATGAAAGCATACAGATGCGTCATGTCCAATCTTGTGGCAAATTTGACATGAGACCTTTCCAAATCTACCACCTCCATGTCCAAACCGGCCACCACCACGACCAAAACAACCACCGCGTGAACCATAGCCATGATTTTCAGCATTTGCCGTCACATGACTAGTTCTAATAGGAAAATTAGGGTTCGAATCTTCACTGGATACCTCTGTCGAGAGCGATGCTGAAGACGGCGGAGCATGAGTGAGATTCGCGGACACTGGTTCAAAAACTACAGCTTTTCGATTCTTCTCAATGCGCAATTCGTGTGCTAGAAGGCTTGATTCGAGTTCATCCAGCGAACACAAATCCTCTTTACTATTCATCGCAGCAACAATTGGATCATATTCTTCAGGGAGAGTATCAAGAACAACTTCAATGAGATTACGAAGAGGAACCGGATCTCCGATCAAAACCAAAGATTCGCTGATTTCGCGAACACGAACAACAAATTCAGTAATTGTGCGCGATCCTTTTGCCAAATTGCGTAACTCAGATCGGAGTTGTCTCGCCTTGGTGGTGAGCAACGTATTGAAGTAGCGTTGAACCTCAGACCATACCTGCTATGAGTATGTGCAATCAACGAGTTTAGGAAGAAGAGAATCGGAGATAGTGGAGAGAAACCAGGTGCAAATGAGCGCAACCAGGTGCAAATGAGCGCATCCTGTTGCTCCCAGTCAAGAAATGCTGGATTTGCACCGCCAGTAACAGGATCGACGCCGGGAAGAAATCGCGGAGGAACAAGCAGCGACGTCACGAACTGCTAAAGTTTGTGGCCGCGAATCACACCATCTATTTGTTGTTTCCACTGTTTGAAGTTCTTATCATCCAATTTGACTGAGATAAGATGTGAGAGTTTGACGTGAGATGAGTGAAAAACGCCCTCAGAACTGAACGGAGATGCCATGGAACTCTAGATCGAAAGAGAAGCTCTAGATACCATGTTATAATAAAAGAAAGAGAGAAGAGTGAAAGAATTCGATATTGATTCCTAGAAGTGAACATTATACAATAGATCACTAATAGATCACTATATATAGGTAAGCATAGCTAACCATTAGACAGCTAATACAGTTAGCTTACTAACATAAGGAAACCTATATTATTATCTATTTATCTCTAATAATTAATCGATATAGAATTCTCAGAGATCCAATAGCTTTTGTTTGCGGAGAATTCTTATTTTGCAATTCTCAAAAGCTCATTTAAAACATTTCAAGTCCCAAAACCCTAAAACATGTGCACAGCCGTCAGGATTAATTACGGGTCAATTTATGGGCCAAATCCAATTGTTTAATGACTGGGTCAAAACGGGTCTGAAGCTGGTAAAAACAAAAAAAAAACGGATCATTGGGATCTCTCGATCCCACAATTTAAAGATCATTCTCTAAAAGTTCAACAATCCAGACAAATCCACGATCTTTGTTCCACTTAAATAGGTGGCCGGTTGCCGGAGTGCAAGAACGTACGATTTCGGGAGTTAAAGCGAGATCCCGACAACCATGCTCAGTAGTACTCGAGAGAACTCATAAATCGAGAAAAACACTGAGCAACAAATTTACACTTTTTCTTAGGATGCTAATTCCTATTTGTCGGCAAGTCAAAATTACTTTCCTCTGTTAAATCCTCCACGCATCAACAGTTTCAGCAAAGGAAAGTAAATCGACTAAAAACTTATATTGATTAACAGAAAAGGTAAAAGCTTAATTTTGTATATTATGTGGTCAAGAGAAAATGAAAGGAGACTATATATGAAGATTTTGAGAAAAAAAATAGCTCACCACTGAAGGTTGCCCCTGGAAGAGTCTTAACATTGTAGGAGAAGGTGAACTTTTAGGAATTGCCACTGTTACGTCATAAACGGCCGGGACAAATGAGCGCATATGGCTTACTGCTGAAACAAACCCCTGAAAGCGACATAATTGAATATATTTATTAGTGCAAACAACAGATACGAACTAGGAAACATAATATAATGGATAAAGGTTGAGAAAGGATAAAAGAGAAAAGGAGAGAAATCTCTCCTCCAAGGGTTTCCCCTTCACAATAGAATCAATAATCTATTCACAATATTCAATAATCTCCTCTCTAACTTCTCAACCTCCCTATTTATACATGATAATCCTAACTACACCATTAACAAATAACTTTCCTAACTAACTCCCTATCTCAACTTCTAACTCCATTATCTCCTCTGTAATCCTAACAATACACCCCTCCTTAAAACAACCTTGTCTTCAAGGTTGAAGTCTACTAAATTCTTTTTGTTCAGTGGTTGTTGAACTAAATTAAAAAGAAAATAAAAATAATTTCTACTCCAGGATCCCACTGTCGGAAGCTTGATGAACCTGCTGCAACTGCAACCAACGGAACACCGTCTCCTGGGGCTTCAATTCCTTGATTTTCCCTTTGAATTGGTGGATAAAATTGTGACCCAAAAACTGTATTGCTCTGTTCTTGTATCTCCACATCAGCTTCCACCTTTATGTCTTCTTGCTCCCAGTCCACTGGTTTCTCATCATCTTGCATCTTTTTATCCATCTTTGATTCTTGCCATTTTGGCTTCTACAATTCCTGCCACGTCAGATCCTTGATCTCCACCCTCTATTGCAATTGATTTCTTGTTCATAGATCCTTCTTCATCCAATGTAGCCTTGATATTGCCATTAAATTCCAGCAAGATGTCTCTAAATTCATTGATAACATTTTTCAATTGTCATTTCGTAAACAGAATTTTCCCATCAAGCCCAGGGCTATTAGCTTGACGCAAGGATTCAAGTGGCCCAACAACGGCCTTCTTCATCCCACAAAACCAGCTTTTAATGTGAGGAATCCCAACTCCAAAACTTTATCCAGTGTGGGACTTGGGTTATTTTTTCTCCAATAGCCGGAAACCCTTTAGCCACCCATGATAAGTTGAGGTATAACCGTAATTATAGGGAGTAGAACCGTAATAAATTTCATAGAAAAGAAAAGCCAGCAAGAATGTGCTAATATAAATTAGTTAAACCAGATAGTTTGCTCAACCAGAGTCATGTGGAATAGCTTCAAACTGTGGAAGAAAAGCAAGGAAAGGAAAATGACAAACAAAGAAAAGATAAAGAAGTCTTATAAACCTCACCTTAGTTCTTGGAATCAAAACGTTTCTAGGAACAGGCAATCCTGTCGAGATTGCATATTCCTGAGCGGCTGATAGTTTGGCCTGTGTAAAGCGGGTTCCTTCTACAAAGAGAGCCAACCAAAAGGGAAGAGGGAAATCCCTCAGTTCCCGTAGGCCTGACTGTACATACAATATTACAACTGAAATGAGATTCACAACTATTATAGCGAGCAGAGTATGTAGAGCGATCAGAGGACAGAGAGAAGTTGTATTAATTTTTGCCACTCTGTGCACGAGTGAGAAGACATTAATATTATTATAACATATACAAAAGTAAATCTCTTATGAGAGCATTCAACATGCATATGAATTATATTTGAGTAACCCATAGTCCCATACCTTTAATGTGCTTTCATCCTTGGCCCAATTTCTTTCCAAGAAAAGATATTCAGAAAACCACATTGACCAACCAATGACCTGCACATTGAAACATGGCAGATAGATCATTATTGACATTAAAGAATAGAGATATAATAACAATATGCTGATAATCAAGTTTTTATTGTTTTACTCATGATAGGTATACAAGCAGAAATTATTTATGGTTAAATGAGAGAAAAATATATAATGTTTGTTTCTTCCAAGTAGGTAATTTTCACTGAGTAATAGTACACTGGGTTGAAAATAATATAAGTAAATTTCACTGAGTAGTGGTACACTGGGTTGAAGATAATATAAGAGAAGTTTTTAATTGGAGTTTAGGGGACATGAAAATAAGTTGGATATATAATAGAGTTGATGGTGCTACATTTTTCATTAAGAAACATTTAAAAATAAGTATAATATACAGTAAGTGTAACTTTCATATTAATTTACAAAAATAAGAGCACATATTATACATGACTACATCTTAATTAAACTCCATCAAAACTTCAAAAACGGGCCCAGTCCTGCCAAGTGATTGACCAATGCAAGAAACACATCACTATCAATAAACCGCTACCAATAAGCCCATTAGCAGAAATTGGTCGGTCCAAAAGACCTGTTATGTGAAAATGTCAATATTGACATTTCAATATAGACCTTTAAATCCTTGACCAAATAACCATAAGCCCAATGCAAGTGAACCCAAAAAAAAGAAATCTTACATTTAGAGCTTAGTTTATAGACTCTACTATCTTTTCCAAAATAAATTAAGCATAACAATGAAAGCAAAAAAAAAATCCAAGAAAGCAGGTTCAAAATCTTCCACATCTAATAGAAGGAGTAAACACGGATCACGTGATAACTCTAAGTAGCGAACAGATCATTCCATTAATTAGCATTAGCAGCCCATCAATACAACATATCCTTGAATTTTTTTTCGGGTTCACATACGCAACTATCAAAGAATTTGGTACGTGAATACATAGTTGGTACGCTCATGGTTGTCAAAATCTCGATCTAGATCTTAAAATCTTAAGATTTTACGATCTCACTCGCCTCTGACAATCTCGATCTTAAGTAGATCTTGTATTGTAGCCAAATTGTGAAAAAAAACGTAAAACCATTGATTTTGTGCGATCTTTGCCTGTTTCGGCCATGATTGGCCTTTTTTCGGCCACCACCATTAAAAGGTGAGAAGGATGACATGATAATGAGGCGTGTTAAGAATCCCACATCGAATAATATATGCCTGAACATGTGTTTATACGTGGGGGAAGTCCTCGCTCTACCAACTAGTTTTGTAGGTTTGAGTTAGGTCCAACCACATTTCTTGACATGGTATCTAGAGCATGCTAAGAGGCAATTCTTTCTTCGCCGTGCTTTACCTGGTTGACTCATTGTCATCCGGTGAGATTTTTCTTTTTGCAAACCGTGTTATCACCCTGCTTTGCCTCTCACTTTTCAAAATTATTCGATAATCACCCTGCCGCCACTGTCGTTGTTACTGTTTCGGCAAAGTTTCAGGCGACGTTTTGGAAAACTGACCCCACCATCCGACCCGCCGCCCTCCGATCCGGTCGTCGCCCTTTTTCCAACAGCTGCTCCGCGCGTGCCAACACGTCCAGCAGCTGATTCCGGCCGTTTTTCCGCCAGTCTACTCGCCTCTCCCCACCAGATCCGGCCTCCGTTTTACTTTCCGACTCACGGAAAACGATGCTCCAGTGCAAACAGCCTCGATTTCACTACGTTTTTTTTTGTTGTCTAAGCCATGGGAGACACTGATTTTGGTTTCAGTGATTCGTATACCAAAGTTCCGCTTATCCCATGTGAAAAGCCAACCGGCTCATCCAACTACAACATATGGGGTGGTCAGGGATATGAAGATCATTTAATTACAAAAGTGGATGTTGTTCCCGCCGCCAAACTTACTAAATGGAAGAAAACCGATGCATCTATGTGCACTGTGCTATGGTTTACCATGGCATCTAATCTCCAATCACAACACCAAGCCTTCTCCACTTGTTATGAGATTTGGGAAAAGGCCAAGAAAGTCTTCTCCAACGATGTTCATTGTCTATATAGTGTCATCCGCAAAATCAACACTCTGAAGGTAGAGAATATGGATATGCAAGCTTATCTAAGTAAGCTTGATGTCATGAAAGCAAATTACACCACCCTCATGCCTTACGCAAAAGATGCATTAGCTCGTGCCGAACAACAGAGTAAAATTTTCATGATCATGGCACTTATGGGACTACCATTAAAGCTTGAGTCCATTCGTAACCAGATTTTATCATATACTATTGTTCCTAACTATGATGCAGTTAGTGAAAAACTGTTGCGCTTGGCTACACCACATGCTTTTGGCCCGGTTTCCCTTCCATATATTGCTGCTCCGACACCAGGTGACATTGTTGCCCTTGCATCTCTTAGCAATAATCAGAATCGACTTTGAGGAGGGTCATCCAACACTAAACCTCATCCCAAGTGTGACCATTGTAATTGGCTTGGACATACTATTGACCGTTGCTGGAAGTTGTATGGCAGACCTCCATGTCAGGTAAATGCAGCTCAAATCAATCACCCAAACACTCTGCAGACTTCACCTTCTCTTCAAAACTCTACGACAAGCTACAAGAATTTTCTCAGGTGGTATCAAAAGCCTCGTTTAAGATCCGTTGGGCTACCTACTATGCTTTCCGCTATCGGGCCACCCACCATTTATTTCCACGCTTCAGTTGTCTAGTCCTGAGCGTGAGGGGGTGTGTTAAGAGTCTCACATCGGATAATATATTGGCCTGAACATGTGCTTATAAGTATGGGCATTCTTCACTCTACCAACCGGTTTTGTAGGGTTGAGTTAGGCCTAATCAGAACTCTGGCTCCACGGCTTTGGTTGCACACACTAATAATTCGTCTGTTTGCTTCTCACAATCATCTCCTCTTTGTTCTTAGGTCCTCGATTTTGGTGCGTCTGATCATGTTACTGGTAATAAAGACATTTTTTGTTCCCTCTTTACCACTGGTTTCTTACTTAGTATAACTGCCGCAAATGGTTCCCAAATCCGATCTTAAGGGATTGGCGCTTTTCAAATTCTTCCATCTCTCTCTGTTACTTTTGTCCTATACGTACCTAATTGCCCATTTAATTTACTATCAGTTAGTCGTTTAACTCGGTCCCTTAATTGTTCTATCACCTTTACTGAGAGTAATGTTACCTTGCAGGATCAGACTTCGAGACAGACAATTGGCATCGAATGTGAGTCTTAAGGCCTATACTACTTCTCTACGTCATCTACCACATGCTCCACCACAGATTCTCCACGCACTATACATGCGCAGTTAGGTCATCCAAGTCTTCCCAAGCTACAAAAGTTGGTATCCAGTTTATCTAAATTATCCACTTTACATTGCGAGTCTTGTCAGTTAGGGAAACATACTCGTAGTCAGTTTCCCGATCGAGTCCATAAACGGGTTGCGTCCCCTTTTGCTTAGTTCACTTTGAAGTTTGAGGTCCCTCAACCACAGATTTTCCACTCACTATACATGCGCAGTTAGATCATCCAGGTCTTCCCAAGCTACAAAAGTCGGTGCCCAATTTATCTAAACTATCCACTTTACATTGCGAGTCTTATCAGTTAGGAAAACATACTCGTAGTCAGTTTTCCGATCGAGTCAATAAACGGGTTGCGTCCTCTTTTGCTTTAGTTCACTTCGATGTTTGGGGTCCCTCGCGTACTACGTCTACTTTTGAGTCTAGGTATTTTGTAACTTTTATTGATGATTTTTCACGTTGCATGTGGCTATTTTTAAGGAAGAACAGATCTGAATTTTTTCCTATTTTTGAACAATTTTATCGGGAAATAAGAACCCAATTTGGTTTGTCTATTCGTACCTTAAGAAGTAACAATGCACGTGAATATTTATCCCAACAATTTCAAACTTTTATGTCATCCAATGGCATTCTCCACCAAACATCTTGCCCTCATACATCTCAACAAAACAGGGTAGCCGAACGCAAAAACCGGCATCTTGTAGAAACCACTCGGACCCTACTTCTCCATGGTAAGGTTCCTCTCCGATTTTGGGGAGATGCTGTGCTCACGGCATGTTATCGTATAAATCGAATGCCCTCATCTGTTCTTTATAATAAAATCCCTCATTCAATCCTTTTTCCAAACGCTCCCCTTCACCGAATTCCTCCTCGAGTCTTCGGGTCAATACTTTTTGTACACAATCTCTCCCCTGACTTGATAAATTATCAGCTCGATCAGTCAAGTGTGGCTTTCTTGGTTACCACCGATCCCAAAAGGGTTATCGTTGCTATTCACATACTCTACAACGATACCTCGTATCAGCCGATGTTACCTTCTTTGAGTGTGTTCCATATTTCGAGTCTAGCCAAGTAACTCCGGAACCCCTTCAGGAAAATACTCCCACACATCTTCTGGAAGTCATTATTCCCCATCATTCCAGAGAACCTGGCACACTAAATGTGTACTTTTCAAAGTAGTGGTACTTGGGAACTGGTTCCTCTACCCCCTGAGAAATCTTTAGTAGGTTGTCGTTGGCTTTATACAGTGAAGGTTGGACCAGATGGTAAGATCGATCGGTTTAAAGCTTGCTTGGCAGCCAAAGGATATACTCAAATTTTTGGGTTGGATTATAGTGATACCTTCTCACCTATAGCCAAGATGGCATCTGTCAGACTTCTTCTAGCCATTGTAGTCATTCGACATTGGCCTCTCTATCAACTTGACATCAAAAATACCTTTTTACTTGGTGATCTTGAATAGGAAGTATATATGAAGAAACCACCTGAGTTTGTTACTCAGGGGGAATCATCGAATGTGGTTTGTAGGTGATAGAACCCAAACAAATAAAGAAGCACCACATCAACAATTAATTCACTCAGCAACTAGTGGGGTCAAGCCGTTATTGGTTTATTCTAGAAGAAATGGCAGATTGGGAAATAGTGGCTAAGGTTGTTAGAGATGATGTGACGTGCTCTTGGCAGATCTAGGGATTCGCAATTCCTTATTTTGTACTTT